TGTCAACAAGGCGGCAACAAAGTTGGTATTGATTTTCATGACTGGACCAGAAGCTGGAGAATGTCGAGCGGTCCAACGGCAGACAGCAGAGGTTGAGTCCAAGACGAGTCTAAGAACGATGGGGTGGGGGGGAAAGTTTACCTTGACTGTCCTGCCTATGTCGGGAATGGCAATACGGAGCATCGCAGTTCCCAGAGCTACTCGATCTCTTCCATTGCGCCTGGTGTCAATCGATAGCGCTCGAGGTCACGCCTAAATGGGTGCGTGCGCGGCGAATAACGCAGACACACCTCACCGTAGATACCGGAATCGTATGTCTGCATATATATGTACGTTGTTGTTGTTGGATAGATCACGTTTTGGTACCGCCATGAGGTATGCCGCCAGCCATGTTGGGCAAATAAACGTCCTCTCTTTTCCGCTCTTGGACTCTGCGACCGACGATTTGGCAGCCGCGCTCCTTTGGAAATGGCGTCGATAGCATCTCGTAGACTCGCAAAGGAACTTCGAGATATTCAAACGAATGGCACCCCCGCTGGAATCGAGCTCTTGGAAGTGAATGGTGATAAATGGATCATGGGCATTGAGGTATTGGGCGAGTCCGTGTACGCGGTAGGTCTGAGAATTCGTTCTTTTATGCTCCTCTTGGGACGTTATGAAACCCTCATCCTGGGTACGGACCACGGAGACCCCTTTGCCAGGGCGCTATTCGGCCCATTGGGAGATCCCCTAAGTGTCCCGTCGAGGCGAAGACTAACCACGAACTCAGGGCGAGAAGTTTGCTGTACTCTTCCAATTCGAGCCTCAGTACCCGATATCGTCCCCGATTGTCACCTTTATGCCACGCTATACGCCGCCAACAGACTCGACCTCTTCCTTTGATAAGAATACTGTCTATACGACGCCAATGCACCCACATACGTACTCTAATGGCCACATCTGTCTCGATCTGTTGGGTGAGCGGTCTCCTTTGAACATCGGATGAACTTCTCTCATCATGAATGAATAGGTCCGCAATGGTCGCCCGTATTAACCGTGACTTCAATCTGCTTGTCACTACAAAGCATGCTTGCGTCTTGTAAGAAGCGAGGTTCGCCGGTTCTCCCTTTCTGTCGCTCGTCCCTTCTTTTACCGTTTGTGAAATAGAGCGACCAGTAGATAATGACCGATACGTGCGATCAGCCCCAGACAATCCCAAAAAGGTACGTGTGTGTGTGTGCTATCACTTGCTTGTGTAGCATGTGCTCACCCTTTTCAGACACGCTTTCACTATGATGGTATGTGGTTTCCAGTCGCAATAGGCCATACTCACACGATTTGGTATAATCGATAGATGACACGTATTTACAACTCTTTGTACCGATGAAACCTACTGACATGCGTTCAGGGTCTGATATTATTGCACCGGATTACATATATTTCCTCTAGTTAGCAGATAGGGCTTTCATGACAATATCATATATTACTCCAATTGTCTTCATTGAGTGCTAATGGTCATTGTGGCTAACGATCAGTGAGAATATACTCTGAATTTACTTGGGCTTTAAAAATTCAGTATAAATTTAATAAATACTAATAAATCACAATCAAGCGTCTATGGTTCAGGGGTAGAATTGGTCGTTGCCAAAGTGCATCTTCGACTAGGCCGGGGTTCGAGTCCCCGTGGACGCAATTTTTTTAGCTATAGGTGTTTTTTTCCTAGTTTAAATAGACCTTTTTTTGGTGGTTGTATATATATTATTCATACTTTGCACTTGTCACATCTGTTATCTATTGCACAACCTTTAGTGAGTATTCCATGCATGCCATCTCATATTTTCTAGGTCTTACCCTTTATGCTGCTTCACTCTCAGGGCCACTTCTCATTTTATTTTATTTTTTTGTTGTCCAATTTGGTATCCAATTGCACTAGGTATATAGCATATCTGTTATGTTCTACTTCACTGCACTCAAAGGCTGCCACATCAGCAAAACATCAAAGGGTTCTCTAGATGTTTAGATGCTTAGATTGGGGGGAGGTAGCTAGAGCAATCTAGAGGCATTCTAGAGACATTTAGAGCCATCTAAAACCATCTAAAGGTATAAAATCTTGGTGCTTAGATGGTTTAGACCCTTCTGGATCCCTTTTAGATTGCTCTAGCTACCTCCCCCCAATCTAAGCATCTAAACATCTAGAGAATCCTTTGACATTTTGCTGATGCCAGATAGACTCTCAAAATGTAATTCATAATCAGAACTAGTAAAAACTGTAGCCATACAATGCCCTTCATTCCACCTGTCATATTGAACAAACTTGAACTCTACCATATCTTTGGATACAATGACTTTGACCACACCTATTCTACAAGCCACCACTGGGTAATCCCACCAATGAATTCCTTTGTACTATAGCTAACTTTCAATAAAAGGTCCTTTTCTTTCCCTCTTTGCTGGAATGAAGTGTCAAAATTAGCCAGGAGCCCCTATGATCCCTTGCCCCAGCAGGGGGTGCAAGTCACCAAGCTCCTCATCAGAATATATCCCTAGGTTTAATTGATGTACCCAAACCAAGAGCTAGAAAAGGCTCTACTGGCTGTCTCCAAGGGCCTTCTTCCAAGTCCCAACAGACCACTGAGTATTGAATACCTCAAATTGATTGCTCTCAGCATCTCTGCATCCTCTTGACCTACTCAGTTTGTTTATTCTATAGCAGTTCCTCTTGACTCAGTAGGTCCTGATGGTAGCACCATGCAGGAGAGGCTTCAAAGTCCCAATGCTGCCATCAAGGGGGAATAGAAAAGTAGAGCAGCCAAATTTGCAACATCCTCTTCACCCATTGCCTACTATGCAAGCTAGTTGCAGACTGGAAAGAAGAGACATCAAACTTCTTTGGCCAATCCAGCAACAACAAAGTGGGCTTGTCAGTTTGCTACATACATATACAAATTGGCAATTGAGCATGGACACAACATTGTATATTGCCCATTCCTCAATGTGTCTACTTACCCACAGATACATTGATGCACTTGAATGTGCTGCTATAGCCCTCTCTCCCTAGATTCATTGTTAAACCAAGATCACTATGGCAACTACCTACTATACAATCTTCTAGAAGAAACAAAGCTGATTGAGAACAACCTCTCCCTATTATCCAAACATAGTGAGTAGAGAATGCTCTCTAACCACTCACTCATACTAATATCTATTCAAAGTTGTCCTTGTATTCAGTGAACAGATCCACAATTCAGATTTTGCAAGCTTGCCACCATCTTGGTAGGTACAATTGCATGCTCTTGTCCTCTTCCTTCACCATGCTAGTTTCAATCTAGATGGGGCCACATCTGTACAAATAATGCTGCAGCATGCACCATAGACTCAGATGGATGCAGCTCTCAGCAATGGTTCCATATAGTATCTCTTTAGCAAGGAATTGCACAAATGATTCTCGACCTTCCTATCTCAATTTCATCCTATCAAGCCCAAGTTCACTCTATTCAAGACTCATGGATTCCTTGCATCAAATGATCATAACATTAAATTGACTTTGCTTCCATCTTTGGCATGAGGTTAGTAATCTCCTAATCAACTATATGGTGTCCACCTCATCTAGCACTGCCAAGCCTTCTCCTTCTTAACCCCTTTGGTAGAAGGGTTGAGCATTGATCAGGAGGTTATTAAGCAACTTCTCTCAATGCACCTAGCATCCACCCAGCTTGCCAACAATCACAAAGTTGTCCAACATGGATTGTCCTCTATCCAGAACTTATGCCCCAACATCCTCATTGGAGGAGATTATTCCAGAGTCACTGTAAAGGCATCTGGGGATATTGCACTTTGATTTGACCTGGGCCCTCATGCTACTGATAAAGTACATTTCATAATGCACTATATCAAGAACTGTGCCCTTGGAGGAGTTAGCCTTTCTAGGGAGAACAAATTCTCTATCAACATTCATTTTGTGGCAGTTCTCTCTGCCAACCACAAATAGAAACTAGCATTACAAGAGGAAATGACTGGAGAGCTGGTCTATACTCCAACCCCCAAAACCTTGGTGCAATCAAGGCAGCTATTCCAGATTGCATTGGATAACTCTGATGCAGAGCTAGCAAAACTCCAGGATGAGTGGAACTTCACAGATGTAACTGCATTGACACCAGGCAATGCAATCACCATTGAGAGAAGCAAACTTGGAATCCTGGCAGTATCAGCCATCCCACATCAGCAAAATGTCAAAGGGCTCTCTAGATGTTTAGATGCTTAGATTTGGGGGAGGTAGCTAGAGCAATCTAGAGGCAATCTAGAAACATTTAAAGACATCTAGAACCATCTAAAGGCATAAAATCTTGGTGCTTAGATAGTTTAGATCCTTCTAGATTCTTCTAGATCCTCTTTAGATTGCTCTAGCTACCTCCCCCCAATCTAAGCATCTAAACATCTAGAGAGCCCTTTGATGTTTTGCTGATGTTATCCCTTGACCATGATTGCATTGTCTCAACCAATCTATGGAGGCCAGAAATAGCTTGTCAGCCAACAATACCAGCTTAGTGATTCCACAAGTGTTGCCTTTGTTAGAGCTTCAGAAAAGGTTGGGATAAGAAGTGCATTGGGCTCATTGTTTGGCAACATTAGAATTGGGCAATGAAAGCAACACCTTTGGCTCAGACAAAGAGAAACCAATGACTCTGGTAGAGTGCTAGAAAACTTCATCAGCAAAATGTCAAAGGGTTCTCTAGATGTTTAGATGCTTAGATTGGGGGGAGGTAGCTAGAGCAATCTAAGGAAGATCTAGAAGGATCTAGAAGGATCTAAACTATCTAAGCACCAAGATTTTATGCCTTTAGATAGTCCTAGATACAGTGGGCAACAAAACTGTTGCACAAGCTAGGGAATTTCACTTGTTTGGCCAATTACTGGTGAAGTAGGCTGAACCAAACAAAGTTGTTACTACTACTAGATAGCCAGCTATCTTAGCTTTCTAATGATATCTATTTCATCCTACTACACTTAGTAATAGTGGAGTTAATGTCCAATATCTGAGGAGATATGGCTGCAACAGTTTTGTTGCTGAGAGGCTAAAGTCATAAATCATAAGAAGGAGATCAGATAAAGCTTTGATCACTATAAGTGGAGTATTATACTATATCCAGAAGTCCTCTTATGACTCTTTCTACACTTCAATACTATGTGTGCTTGCTGTAGGTGGGGATATTCTATCAGAGAGTATAGGTGGCTACAAAGAGAACTAAGATGAGTTTTAGTGAGATTAGTATTCATATATGTCCTAGAAGATGTAGAGTACTCTTAGAATAGGAATAAGTGGCTATGCTATGCTATACCACCTAGAACCACTATCAGTCTTCAGATGGTACCTCTGAGGAGCATGCTCTATAGGAGTTGTAGTTCCTATAACTTGAGTATACATTGTTTATAACTATGGAAAAGGGATATATACTTATACAAGATGAAATGAGGTCCCTATAGAGCCATAGCAAAGGTCTAACACCTAAGCTGCTGTGCTTATTGGTGTAAATCTATGATAGGCTTAGTGATACTACTAGCAAGAGCTTGATACTAAACTAAATGAACTACCTTGATAAAAAAAATTGCTTTCTCATCTCTGTGCCTCCCATATGCCCTTATATAAACAGATGAACAATAACCTCTGATAAGTACCCTTTTTCAGAGACTGTATAGACTCAATCAGAATCAGATCAAGGTATATTCTTAGCCTAAATCATATAAAGTCTATTTTCAAATACTAGCAAGGACTATAACTCCCATAGAGCATGCTCCTCAGAGGTACCATCTGAAGACTGATAGTGGTTCTAGGTGGTATAGCATAGCATAGC